CAGTTCTTCCAGTCTACAAGTACCTAGAGCACACTTATTAAAATTTGAAGAAAAACACCCAATAACTGTTAGGCTTTTTAATGCATATTACTAAATAAATGAAGCTTCAGGAAGAGTTTGCTCATCAGTTTGTTGGGCTCATCTAAATAAATTGTCTTTCATATTTTATGTGCTTCTTTGTTATAAAACCTGCCTATCTTAAGACTATGCCTTCAGGGATCATTTCTATAGTTTGTTACTAGAGAAATCTCACTGATAGTGTAGAGTACCGGATGAATGGATCAAGAAAATGTGGAATATATACACAATGGAATTCTATGCCTCCATCAGAAAGAATGACATTGCCCCATTTGTTAGGAAATGGAAAGGCTTGGAAAAAATTATATTAATTGAAGTTAGCCAGGCCCAAAGAAACATAGGTCCCATGGTTTCCCTTATTTGCAATATCTAGTATATGTCTGAGTCAAGCAGAAAAGGTCAGAAAAGGTGATGTTAGGGAAATGAACCCTAAGATATGTATTCAAATATTTTTTTTTTCTTTCATGCAATTGTTTCTAACACATTTATAAGATTATTTCTTTGTTGCTTTGTATGTCCCTCCCCCATGGTATAACCTCTGCTTTAACTGTATTTGAGGTTGGTATAATTTGTGGAGGGGAAGGAGAAAAACAAATCGTTTAAATAGGGATCCAAGTGGATCCATTGCAACAATGAGATGTACAAGTCATTATGTCGAAAAAGAACTTTACAACTTTGGTGGAGGGCAGAGGAGGATTGGGTGGGGGGGTAGGGGGAAGGATGGGAAGGGATGGGAAGGGGAAACAAAGGAGGAGGCTACAATGCTTGATAAGAAATGTACTCATTATCTTGCCCATGTAATTGTAACCCCTCTGTACAGTATTTTCACAATAAAAAACAAAACAAAACAAAAAAACCTGCCTATCTTTTCTTCTAGCTTCAATTAAAAATGCAGCTAAGTGACTTTGGAGCATTCCATTTAATCACTCTTGGGTAGAGTGTCCTCATATGTGCAAATAGAAAAATAGCTTCCCTTCCTATCTTACTATATTGTGAGAATTAAACAATGTAATGCATATCAAGGTACTTCATAAACTGCAAAGCAATATTCAAGCACTTGGTATTACTACAGAATATAGGAAGCCATTTCACATGCATTAACTCATACTTATCTAGAATTTTTTTTTTTTTTTGCCAATCCTGGGACTGAACTCAGGGCCTGGGCACTGTCCTTGAGCTCCTTTTGCTCAAGGCTGGCACTCTACCACTTGAGCCACAGCGCCAATTCTGGCTTTTTCTGCATATGTGATACTTATGAATTGAACCCATGGCTTCATGCATGTTTGGCAAGCACTCTACCACTAAGCCACATTTCCAGCCCCTACTTGTATATATTTAAAATGTTTTCATCCTCAAGTTGTATTTGTAGACCAAAGCATATTTTTTCCTATAAGGCCCCTCTCACCCCATAAGATTCCTTCTTTTACCACCTTTAGCCACTTTGTGTGTGTGTGTTTGTGGGTGTGCGTGCGCACGCACGTACACACACTGGGCTTGAACTCAGAGCCTCTAGCTCTTATTCAACTTTTTCACTGCTAGTCCTCTACCATTTGAGCCATGTGTGTTTCCAGCTTTTTGCTGGAGATAAGAGTCTCTGGGGCTTGCTTGCCTGCTTGACTTTGAAGCTTGATCATCAGATCTCAGTAATCTGAGTAGCTAGTATTATAGATCTGAGCCACTGGTGGCTAGTAATTTTTTTTCTTTTAAACAGCACCAGTTAAAAATATTTGAAGGCAGCAAAAGAAAAGCTGCTAACATAACCTTAAGGTAGGGTATTTTTGTACTTACTACATACAAGAATAGCCATGTTTCCAGTGTGTATAACCTAAATATTTGTCATTCACTTTCTTGCTGCTATAATTGGGAGTAGGGATGAGAAACAGAGAGAAGGAAGGCAGGATCGAAAGATTTGCTTCACAGCATTTTAGAACAGTGGCAAAGGTCTTTCATCCTTAATAGCATGGTGAGGCACCACAAGGATGACAGAGTTGCCAAGCAGTGAGTTTGCTTTTAGCATTCTTTACCCCCTTCCTCCCTCGCATCCAGAAACCTCTGGTTCTCTTTTAATGGTAAAGAACAAGAGCCTCTACTGCTTTCAGGCTATAAAATCTGCAATTAGGTTTGAGATAACAAATTGATTGCTTTTGGCCACATCTACTCTGGTATATTTTTACTTTGGCCTTGGAAATATTGGTTGCCTAGGTTAAAAAAAAAAAAGTCTAGCAAGCTCATGTTTAACTCCAACTTTAGAGCATCTCTGGGGAAGAAAAACAGAATATGTCACTGGGCTGAACCCACGTTTCTAGAGGTTGCAATTTGCTCTCATAATAGCATGGATACCTCAATTTCCATATTCCTGACAAATTCCTCATTGTCTTATACCAAGCTGGCCTCAATATTCTGGCTTCTGTGCCTGAAAGCCCTATTTAGACCTCCTTTCCTGTCTCTCATCAAAGCTTACTTTGTTCGGTCCTATCAGTCTTTCAAAGCAGTAGCTAGGTAATCTGATCAAGTGCAGGGACTTTTACACGTGCTTTCTGAAGATAGCATCTGAACAAAAAGGGATGACTCTGCAGGTGGAACTAACAAGCACCTCTGGATTACAATCAGGATGGCCAGTCCGTCTTATCCCACATGAACTGTTTTCAGGTGGGCCAAAGGAATCGGTTCCCTGGTAGAACAAAGGACACTGGCCTGCATGTGTGAAACAGACTGTAGTTACTTGTATAGACCAAGACTATCCCGGTTCGAAAAGATCCGAAGCTACTGCGGGGTGCAGTTCTGGCTCTTCCTTTCCCGGGAGGCTTTAGGATATCCAGTCTGACGGCATTTCCCCTCACCTGCGCTGGGCCCCGCGCCGCGCCGGGCAGTCGCGCCCAAGGAGCGCGCGCATCCAGCATGAGCTCATCTCTCAGGGGCGTTTCCACAAGGCCGGGCCAGGCCGCGCGCGCTGGGCGCGGTGGGCCTCCTTCTATCAGTGGTCCACCCCCCTCCCGCAGATGCGAGGGGCGCGGCACCCTTCCCCCCCCCCCCCCCCCCCCCCCGCACCGCCCCAGGCACTGCTCTTCGGAAGCTTTGTTCAGACTCTGGATGCTAGCTCGTGCCGACCTCGGCTTTTTGGTCAGTTCGATTTTTTTGGGGGGGGGGGGGAAGACATCCCACTCCCCCGCCCCCCCCCACCGCCCCCATCCTCTCTCAGCACGCGCGATCCCGCGCAGAGGGAGCCTAGAGAACGCAGCACGAGCCGCGCCCCGAGGAGAGCCTCCGGTGGGTGGGAACGGCCCCTCGCCCTCGATCCGCTCCAGCGCTCCGGGCGCTGCCAGCCGACCACAGGAGTTTCGGACGGGCTGCGCACAAAGCCCGCGCCTCTATCTGCGGTTTTCACACGGATAGTGAGCAGCCGTGTGCGAGCCCGTCCGTCAGACGACAGTCGGCCACGACCCCGGCGCGATTCTCTCCGCTCTAGGGACCACCGGAGGCCAATCGTACTGCGGCTAGGTCTTGCGATTGCACGGCATTGCGCACCCATTGGCCGCTGCCCCGGGACTCGGCAGCCCGCCTCTCTCCCACCCCCTCCCAACTCCAGTTCCAAAGCTGCAAGCCAATGAGACGGCACTTTGTAGACGCCCTCCCTTCGCCGCCGTTACGGCCCACCTCGGCTAGGGAGGGCAGGTTCTGATTGGCCAGACGTTCTCGGAAGCCCTCTTCCCTTAACCAATCATCGAGAAAGGTGCACTCCCAGCGGAGTTTTCCGGCCAATGAGGGAGCGGCCGCAGTGCCCCGCCGTGAAGTTTCTCCTGCGACTCTGCGTTTCGCTATCTTAAAAATTCTTCCTTCTCCCCCCCCCCCCCCCCCCCCCCCCCCCCCCCCGGGCTGGAAACTTTGATTGGCCACTGTTGTTATCATCGAATTTTCTCCTCCAGCCAGCCTTAGAACAAGGCGAGCCCACCTTCTTTCCCTTCGGCTACTTTCGGCCTTTTACGCTCTCCGGGCGTAGCTTCCCAGCGACACTTTCTAATTGGTCCCTCGGCCCCATCGGCTTTTTCCGGCAAGAGCCGCAAACAAACGACGCCGTTGATTGGCTCGGCCTGTGGGTTTCGGCTTTCCAGCCACAGCGGGCGGGCGCGGGCTCGGCGGGCGATTCCCAGACGCAGGTTACGCGGGCGGCGGGGCGCAGGGCGGTGTAAGGCTGGGTGGGGGAGGAAGGAGGCGGAGGACGAGTAGGGAGGGGAGGAGGGGGAGGGGAGGGGAGGGGGAAGCGCTCGGCGGCTGCGCAGACGGCGCTCCTCACACAGAGCCGCCCCCGACCCGGGCGAATGCGGGCTTGCGCTGCTGCTGCCGCCGCCTCCGCCGCCACTACCGCCGCGGCCCGGGCCGACTGACAAAGGAAGGAAGGAAGCGAGGAGGAGCTGACCCCGCAGCCGCTGACAAGGCTCCGGGCTGGGGGCACAGCGCGGACACTTCCCGATCCGCACGGAGCAGAGGCGAGGGGCGGAGGGCGGCCGCGCCGCCGGTGCCGCGGCCGGGGGAGGGGGCCTCAGCGAGACGGAAGCGGTTGTCGGGTTCCCATGTCCCCAGCGTACGGGGAGCAATCGTGGAGCCGCTGCCTGGGGTCTGAAGGGAGCTGTCTTCGCCACCACCGCCGCCGCCATGGCCGCTGGATCCAGCCGCCGCCTGCAGCTGCTCCTGGCGCAATGAGGAGCGGAGTCGCCGCCGCCGCCGCCGCCACCACCACCGCCGCCGCCACCGCCGCCACCACCGCCCGCCCCTGACGGACTAGCGACTCCGCCGCCCTCCGGCTCGCCGGGCCCTCGCCGTCAGCCGCCGGATCCCGCCGCTGCTCGAGCCGCAGCGCTGCCCGTCGCATCTCGGAGCCGCCTCCTCCCGCCCGCCCGCCTCCTTCCCATCCCCCTTCTCTCCAAGCGTGAGACTCGTGATCCTTCCGCCGCTCTCCTTCATTGACTCGGGGAAAAAAAAAATCCCCGAGGAAAATAGAATATTCAAAGTACTTAGTTTCATTCAACTGTTTGCTCTTTCCTTTCACGGGATATATATATGTAATATATATATATATATATACATCTATTTTTAAAGGACCCTTCCCCTTTGCCCTTTTACTCCCCTCTCAGCAAAGGGAGGTGAAAGAATTGTGTTCCCCCCCTTCCTCCCCCCCCCCGTCCCAAATCATCTATATGTTAAATATCCGTACCTATCTGTCTCGAAGGAGAAATACAACCCTCTGCTTTTTTCGAAAAGAACAATATAGCTATTACAAAAGCCAAGAGGACGAAGTCTTTTTTGTTTGCCTTTTTCTTTTTTCTTCTGGTGGGAGAAACTTAATGCTGCATCTATCATTAACCTAACGCTCCCACATAAAACAAAAGGAAGAAAAAGGAGGAAGGAAGGAAAAAGGTGATTGGGAAGAGCAATCATGTCAGGGCGGCCCAGAACCACCTCCTTTGCGGAGAGCTGCAAGCCAGTGCAGCAGCCTTCAGCTTTTGGCAGCATGAAAGTTAGCAGTGAGTATCGATTTTAATTTTCCACCCCCTTTCCACCTCACCCTTAAAATAGGAAAATCTCGGGATACCAGGAGCTTAAAACTGTTAGATCTCTTACTGGAACAATCCAAGGTAATGGAACAGGGCAAAAACCTGTCTTCAGTCAAGGATGAGGCCGCTCCCTCTTTTCTCCTCCCATCCCCGACCCTCCCCCCCCCTTCCCCCAGGTCTCCTTAACCTTGAATTGAGAGACTAGGATTTTTATTTGGATGATTCCATTGGAAACTTATTTGGTAGTTAGCTTTATCAAGTGCTCCAGTGTCTGCGCGTTAAAATGGCAATGGAAAGGGTTTCTAAAAGCCCATGGTTTGATATCAAGAGGACAGACTTGATTCATAACCGTGATGTGTGCATTTGCAGAGTGTATGTGTGTCTTCTGGACTGAGGGGAAGGTATTTTGCTTAGTTCACATCCCAAGGGTTTTAGGTTTGTATTCTTCATACAGACGTAAAAGCCTCTCTATTCTTGTTGAGACATTAATAGAGACATCCGAGCCTCCTAACATTTATTTCTCTTTTGCCAGTGTGACTATACAAAGTATTTCTTTTTAATCTGGGGATGAACTTCCCCGGAGTTTGGCATTCATGTTGGATCAACCGTAGATCCCTCCCTTTACTAGGGACGGGTGGGGGCCATAAATACCCGGCAGCAGTTTCTTCTCTTGTGCATTGTCTTTAGTTGGTTAAGTGCCTTAATATGTTATCTATCAACCTTCCTGTTTTGACATTACCAGTCTGCCACTATGTAATTTGTTCAAAAGGTAACTTGGAAGCAGGTCCGAGTTTTGACTGGTTTGTATTGTAATAGGCCCCAAAGTTAAATGTCACCGATTGTCATTTAAGTTTTGAGGTGCCATTGCATTCTGTAGTACAGGGGATTCCTTTTTAAGGACTATTTAAAATGCTACTGCATTAATTTCTGTTACATTTACCTCAGACTGGTTTTAGTTACAAGATTATGGATTTAGTCTTTTCCATCCTAGCTTTAGCAAAGGGTTGTGGTGCTAGACATAAAATGATAATTTGGGTTGTTATTGGACTTTGTTCAGTTGTGTTCAGGGTTGTGGTCTTTACTAGCTAGCCACTGTACTCTTGCCCTGGATTTGTGCTGAAAAGTGTGTGTTATTAGAAGTTTTTAGTATTCTAAGTATCCAGTGTTCCAGTGTATCTATTTGTGGAGCTGTTTATGTGGTATTTGATGACAGCTTATTTAAACATACTTCCAGAATTTGACAACAAATATCCATGCTGTTTCCATATTTTCTAAAGGCATGATGAGGGCAAAACTAAACTACTTTGTTGCCTTAGAAGAACTGAGAGAACTAAGGTTTTAGAGTCCAGATGTGTATACTATTATGCAAAATAGATTGTATCTTCAACAACATAAAGTGATTACTTTTAGTTACTTGCACTCAAACTTTAAATTTTTGTTGGCTTTTGAGACTTAACTGAAACAAGGTAGTCCAAGATAATAATTGAATGGGAGAGATATGTGAAAGTTAACTCAAGGTAGAGGAAGGAAGCTGATTTTGCATCTTTCAGAGAAAGATCATGCTTTCTAAGCATTTTATGGGGGCATTTGAGAGGAATTAAAAAAAAATTCTGGGGTAATTTTCAGCTGTAATGAAGCAAATATTATAGTACATTCTTAAGATCCTCTTGAACTGGAGTGTTTGTATGTTTTTATATTTTGGTCAGATAGCGTCAAACCACTCAATCAGTTTTAGATTATTCATTTATTAGGTTTATTTCAGAGTTGGGTAATGCACGATTACAGTGCTAAGTTTTGGGACTTTCTGTTTCTGGGATTTTCTTTGGAAATTATTATAATTCTTAACAGGGATGTTGATGGAAAAGAGAGTCTCAAGTTTGTATGTTAAAAGTGCTGAATTTTATATTATCATAAAAGCCAGTTTAATATTTAAAAAGTTGGTGTTTAATGTTGATGTTCAGTTTTTGACAACTTCAGGTTGTAGAAAAAAGCATTTGTTAGGAGTTCTAAGGGACTCCTTTCAAAACTAGAAATACAGAAGAAATTACAGAAGTTGGCCTCGAGCCTTAGTGATAAAGGCAGATTGTGTGTTGGGGGGGGGGCGGGTAGAAAAACAATAGCATGATCTCTGCAAGATTTATTAAATGCAAATTAAATCTATTCAGGAGGGACAATGAGAGATGGCAAAAAAGAAGGGTTTGAGAAGGAAAGCTTCAGCAGAGGTGTGTTTTAAATCAGGCAGCTGTCACTTCTAGGTGATGGAGAAGTAACAAGGAACTTAGATGGGAAAAATGTATAGAAACAAAAAGTGGTGAGTTTTGTGACAGAGACAGCAATGAGTTGGTAAATCTGAATTAAATGGCTTAGAAGGAAAGTAAGAGATGGAATTTAAGAAATATGACTAACTTAGCTGATAGAGAATAAAGGAATGTCTGGTTCATATTCAAGAGCAATCTGATTAGTGGGGATTGTTGAACCAGATATTTGTGGATGATTTGGGCAGATATTTGAAGATGAGTTGTGAATGTGACTGGAGATGTAACAGTTAGAGAGATAGTAAGAATATCTTGTGAATCATGAGGGAAAAAAAACCAAAATGTGAAAATGGGATGATATAGGAACAGATTTGAGGGCAGTGTGAGTGAAGAACTGGCAGGACTTTTTGGATTGGACTGAAGAGGAATATTTGTGAAGGAGTCAGGAGTTAAAAATAAATTCTGAGGTTACTGGTCTGGAAGACTTGACTGCTGAATTATATTGTAAATTGTAATGGGAAAATTGAGAAAATGCTGAGATGGAGAGGGTAGATGAGCTCACTTTAAAAAATTTTCATATACAATAGGTTCTCTTTCAAATTCAGCGGACAGCAGTTGATTACTGGAAAGAATATTTAACATTCTAGTCTTTTAATTGCAGTTTGTAATTTTTCTGTGCCTAAAAATGTTAGGTTCATATTTGTGAGCAGTAAACTAGAAGCTCATATTTAAATGTTTTTTAAAAGTTCAAAAAAGAAAATAATTTTTAGCATAGATTTTTTAAATGCCTGCTCTTAAAAACTAGTTGTTACAGTTCTAAGAAATATATTTGAAAACAATGAAAATACTGTGACTTAACCATTTAAGGTAACTTCGTATAGCCTTTAACTTTATCTTGGTACATGCTTAAAACTTACATTTAAGGGCTGGGAATGTAGCTTGCCTGATATGCATGAAGCCCTGAGTTTGATTCCTCAGTACCATATAAACAGAAAAAGCTGGAAATAGCGTGGTGGCCCAAGTAGGAGAGTGCTAGCCTTGAGCACCGAGAGGTTCAGGGATGGAGCCCAGGCCCTGCATTCAAGCCCCAGGACCAGAAAAAACAAAATAAAACTTTTATTTAAAATAAGTGATTAGGGCTGGGAATGTGGCTTAGTAATAAGAGTGCTTGCCTAGCATGCATGAAGCCCTGGGTTCGATTCCTCAGCACCACATAAACAGAAAAATCTGGAAGTGGTTATGTGGCTCAAGTGGTAGAGCCTCAGTTTTGTTTATATTTTATTTATTTTTTGTCAGTCATGGGGCTTGAACTCTGGGCCTAGACACTGTTCCTGGGCTCTTCAGCTGAAGGCAAGCACTGTACCACTTGAGCTACAGCGCCACTAGATTGCTAGCCTTGAGCAAAAAGAAGCAGGGACAGTGCCCAGGCCCAGAGTTCTGACAAATAGATAAATAAGTAATTCTTGGGGGCAAGTTATATTATTAAAATAACACTTGTAAGAGTTCTTCAGGGCTGGGAAGTTGGCTCAGTGGTAGAGCACTTGCCTTGCATGCCTGAGGCCCTGGGTTCGATTCCTCAGCACCACATAAGCAAAAAGAAAAAAGCCGGAAGTGGTGCTATGGCTCAAGTGTAGAGCACTAGCCATGAGCTGAAGAGCTGAGGGACAGCTCCCAGGCCCAGAGTTCAGGCCCCACCACCAAATCCCCAAAAAAAAAAAAAGAGTTCTTCACTTAGTGATTGCTCTAGCAGAAATTACTAGTTGATTTTATTAATAAGTTTTTTTGGGGGAGGGAGTCCCAAGTTTCAATGAGCTATTTTGTTTATGGCTAGCACTCTGCCACTTAAGCAAAACATCCCCTTCTAGGCTTTTTAGTATTTAATTGGAGATGGAAGTCTTCAGGACTTTTACTGCTGAGGCTAGCTTCGAATCATAATCCTCAGATCTCTGCTTCCCAAGTAGCTAGGATTGTAGGGCACGAGCCACCGGCACCCAGCATGGGGAATTTTTTTGTTCACACCCAAGATTATCTGTTATTAAATATATAATAAGTACCTATAAAAATCCTTCTTCAGACTTGTATGATATTTTATTCAATAGGTAAAGTAAGAGACTGCTAAAGGAAATTTTTGTTAAAATATTGGCAATATAAGCTTTTGGTATAATATTAGGAAGAATTTATCTAATTTCCAATATTTAATGCTTAAATATGGGGACTGAGAAGAGGTAAGTCAGTTACTGTAATTTTCTCATTTTAAAAGAACTTTAGGTTAAGGTAGTTGAATAATATTCTGCAGTATTAAGTTGTGTGATGATTAAAGAGTATTTTCCAGGGAAGTTGTATAATCTGAAAATAATGTCACTAGAATCTAGCTGATTTCTTAGTTTTCTTGTGTTAGTGATTGTTCATGTGTGAGACTGAAAATTGGAACTTTCGTTTTGCTTCTTTTCCAGTTAGACTTAACCGTAGTTGTTAAAATACTTAAGATATTCATGTAAGAATTGTTGCTGTCGTTGCTTGTACCTTTAGAAGGCTAATTGTCAAGTGACAGCCACAGGCACTAGGATAGTTTCAAAGGAATGTAAAGATTCACAAATTTATTTGTGGTTGATAAGGAATTATATTTAGAAAATAATAGGCCATCCTTTTTTTCACTGAAGCTCACATTCATTGCTTGAAGTTTTGACCAGTGTGGTTTAAAAAAAAAACCCTACA